TAACAGACCGGAAATTTCCGGGCCAGAATACCGCTAGCCAATGGATGGAGGTGCACTCCACTGGCTGCCGTAGCTGCTGAGCAGCAAGGGCAGTGGGCAGCAGCTTAGGATCAAGTCATTTGGGAAGACCAAAATTAAACCAGCACATTTCTTCGCCCATAGAGCATTGACCAAAGCGCTTTAACTTTTAAGCAAGTAAAGCGACCAAAAACGTACAAATGTATGCCACCAGACTTTTGTTCTGTCATCCAGAATTCTCTTCCCTAATATTTTGCTGCCAAACATTTGCCAGCAAAGATCAGCTACGCATCTTTGCCTCTGGTATGTTCAAGAGTTTTTTGACAACAACTCTAAACAAAGCACGAAAGCCAACTAAATTCCGTGCCTTGCTACTGGATCCCCTCACAGCCAGTAGCCGGCCCATGTCCCACCTGCATCCAGCACGTACACCACTGCACCTTCAGAGTGGGGCAGGGATAATAGGGATCGGATGGTGCACATACAGTCATTTATACTGCATTGGAATGTGCACTGGTAACTGGCCAGTATTTCAAGACTGAAATTGACTGTGAATTACCTCTGTAATGCCAGCTGCATTTAAAAGCGATACAGCATCTCCACCATATATGAGAGTTAAGCCACGAAGCCCACGTGGATCAGACGGTCACAGTCAAATGGTGCTGAAAACAAGGACCTGGCATGTTTGCAACTTAGCACTCTAGCTTGACGATGCAGACTCACCTCGCAGAAACGAATGTTGTGCAGGATTCAGACACTATACGTCTGCGCTGTGACAAACTGTTTCGTCGGGCTTTCACCGACTCCTCAGGAGGTTACACCTCGACAGTCTGAAAATCATCAATGATAATCCCGGAAGATTAATCATCAGATACATATGACGGTCACTATTACAACTTTGCTCACTTCTGGTGGATGACAATTCAACCACCTTCAGATAACACTCCACATCTTAAACCACCAGTACTTGGCCCAGCTATTGATGCCAAGCCTAAACTTGCCCTGCGCCATGGTTGCATACCTGCCACTCCACATCTTAAACCACCAGTACTTAGCCCAGCTATTGATGCCAAGCCTAAACTTGCCCTGCGCCATGGTTGCATACCTGCCTACCGCCGACCCTGACCGCCGATTGTTTTGCAGAGGACCAGTAGGGCCGACCCGTCGCCGGTCTGCTGACCAGTCAGAAAACAGCCATCCACTGATTTTTTTCCAGATCTGAGTTGGAAGCTGTACTGCGCTTGCTGAGTACACCCCAAATCCGCCGAGAAACTTTTGGGGAGGGGGGGGGTATGTGGGGTTTGGGGAGGGAGGGTATGTGGGGACATAGGGGGGGTATAGGGCTGTTTTTTTTTTGTTTTTTTTTTTTTTGGNTACCCTCCCAGGCGGCCCAGGGCAGGCAGGATCATCAATCCCAGCCAAAATATTTTAAAAAAATTGAAAAAAATGGGGAAAAAAAAATGTGTGAGTATGTGTGTGTGTGCTGTCTCTTATACACATCTAGATGTGTATAAGAGACAGGTATGGGGGTAGTTGGGGCGGGTATGGGGATGTTGGTGGGGTTATTATGGGTTCTGGACCCCCAAAATATATATATTATTATTATTGTTTTTTGTTGCGGGGTGCCAACGACCCCCGACCGGCAATCCGTAGTCGGCGAGTCAGCAGCCGACCAGTCAAAGGGTCGCCGACAGTCGGGCTGTGCAGTACTGCCCCACGCGCCAAAAAAATAAGAAGCGACACGGGCCTGCTTTTGGCTGGCGCTGCCCGATGTATACGCCAAGTACTGGTGGTTTACCAACTGACTAAGTCAGTTCGGCATCATATTGTAGAAAACGGTATTAAAAGTTAAAACTATATTCCCATAACGAGTGTCAAATTTGCTTTTACCCCCCACAAAGTGTGTGAGGTACAACATGCAATCTCCCGGTAAGCACGTTTGTGTACTCTTTTTTCTTTTTCTATTTCTTTTTTTTTCTTGTTTTTTTCTTTTTTTTCATTTTTTCTCACCACCGCCTGGTTTAGAAGAGGTCAACCACAAACAGAAAGTAAAAGGGAAACACAAAAGATAAAGAGTGAAAAACCCCAGTGGCAACCACAAGATTCTTCACCAATGTGCAGCTGACAGGATGTATACATCCTCGACAAACGTGTTCTCGTAGTGTGAGTCAAAAACTCAAAACTGTTTTCACAAGATTTGAAGTGTACAAACACGCAATCTAACCACCACTGTCGCTACCATCTGGGCATCCGGATCAGCGTCCAGGCGGTCTGTAGTCTGTCGCCAAGAATTTGGACGTCTGGATGTCGCGATGTCTGGATATATCCGGAATATGTTCCAGATACCAAGTTCCACATAAAATATTGGTCTTACAAAATGATAGGAGACTGTTGTCACTGTGTTGTGTGAAAATGTTGAGAAAAAATAACAGATGTTGTGCAGCAACGCAATACGAAGTTTACAAACAACGTCTGGCTGAGATCTTGAAATTTGAAACCACATTAGCAAAAAATGAAAATGAAAAATAGATTCGGATTATACCCTTCTCGGCCTTTTGGCTAAGTAAGATCAAGTGTTGTATCTGTTCTGATCGGTTTAATATCTGATTAGTGGTCCGTCAGGCCTGGGATCTTTTGGAAAATGCCTGGGTCTGGATCCAGTCCCGACCAGCTGATATCAGGTCTGCGGTAGTCATGATGATATGTTTTTTTTTTTTTTTCCTCGCCACCACCTAGCCCAGGATTTGTCAAACTACAGCAAGGAAAAGGTGAAAGCACACCATCTCATGTGCGGCTGACAATGCAAATTTAAACAAGACGGTAATGCAATTCAAGCAAAAAGCTGCAAAACACAGAAGACAATGAGTCAACAGGTCCACAACATAGTTGCGGCGCACCTTGGTGCGTGGATTAGTGCACACACTACACCGCGCGCACCGCGCACCAAAGTGCATCGTACTGGAAAAATTAGGTCCCCAAAAAAAGAAAAAAAAGGTACAGGGTTTTGTACTTTCTTAGGGCCCCCAACTTAGCAAAAAGGTTTCACTCCCCGCACAAGTTCAGACCGGTCGCACCCCAGGCCCGAAATTTTTTTTTGGGTCAGGGCTGCCCAATTTCAATTTCCGCAGGCCCTTCCCCCAAAAGAACACAAGTTGGGAGTAATGCCGCCACCTAACGGTCAAGACTGATGCCCCAAAGTCCAAAGACCTTTCTGGGGCTATTTTCTCATGCCCAGTGAACGTAGAGGAAAAATGTGTCAGCTCTGACTCGACTGTGCTTGACAAAACTGTTCCTTAGGTAGTACACTCAAGTACTGCATCGCATGCCAGTGCAGATGCAAGTATTATCAAAAGTGAATCACATTTCTACAGCAGGCAGCGAAAAGGTACTGAATTTCTACTCACTCACTCCCAAAGTTACACTTCACATGCTCCTTTGAGGGCTGCGTAAAAGGTTCCATGTATGTACAACACCTCCATTCTACACATCGCGCAACACATTAGGGGCTCCGCAAAAAGGGGTCCATAATACCCCCGCATGCGTAATGTATCCGATATCAGCCTAGAAGTATATGAGGGGGTGCAATACATATACGCAGCACAGTCAGCACTAGGCAATAAACCCGCACATCGGTGAGGCCTGAGGTTTCTAACTTCATGCTGTTTTGGTCTCACTAATGACTGCAACACGCTTGGAACGTGGAAATGACAACAGGGACTGCAACATCCATGCATTTGAAGCCACCAAGATTGATACTGCAACATGCATGCATTTGAAGCCACCAAGATTGATCCTACAGCGGAGAAAGGAAACCATAGACATCTCACACAGTTATAGTTGTGAGACATAATAATGGGAGTGGCACAGCTATCGTCCATGCACAGGACATGGAGACAAACAGTGTCAAAACATCGGTCTTTGTCCACCATGGGCTCCTCCGAACCAGTGGGCATATCTTTACAGCTTGAGTCGCATTCAATCTCAATTGCAGGTTTCAGGTTCAGTGATGGG